CCCACATCCCAGTGGCACCCACATCCCAGTATGGGCACCTACATCCCAGTTTGGCACCCACATCCCAGTATGGGCACCTACATCCCAGTTTGGCACCCACATCCCAGTATGGGCACCCACATCCCAGCATGGGCACCTACATCCCAGTATGGCACCCACATCCCAGTATGGGCACCTGCATGCCAGCACCAGGTACCTGCGGAATCTGGCACAGGCGTCTGCAAACTTTACCTCCATCCTGACCCTGGCTCCCACAGGCCAGCACGGGTCCGGGTGCGTCCCCCGTGGGTGCTCCGCCTGGCACGGACGGGGCACACGGTGCCTCCAGCACTGGCACCTGCCCCAGCACAGAGCGTGCAGGGCAGCCTGGCACCGGGCACCCTTGAACTGGCACCCTTTACATGACGTGCACAGCAGCACCCGGGCCAGGCCTGCTGCCCCCGGACCCCCATGCGCCCCATGTTCCGTGGGGTGGCACGTCCCCAGCACCCAGCCCCGGCACCGTCCCTGCTCCCCTGGGCCGCGGCTCAGCCCCACTGCGAGTGCCAGGGGAGCTCTGGGCTTCGCAGCCCTGCCGTGGCATGGGGCTGTCCCCGGCCCGGGGCGGAGGGGCTGGGAGGCAGCAGGCAGGGGGCTGTGCAGGCCGGCGATGCCGCGGCGATGCCGGCTGGCACGGGGCAGGCAGAGATGCCAGGCAGCGGGGCAATGCCCGGGCTCCTTCCTCGGGGACTGCGTGCGGTCATGGGTGAGCTCCCGCAGCCCTGCCATGCGCATCCCCTGCCCCACGCCTGTCCCGGCACAGCGTGTGCAGCTCCGGCACACCAGCACTATTAATACACACCGCGGCACGTGGGCCTGCTGCTCCCACGGGGCCCAGCCTGGTTTGGACTCACCAGGGAGCACCGCACGTCCTGCATCGCCTCCTCCACCCTGCACGGTGGCACTGGCCGTGCTCCCTCCCCCGTCCCCACCCAGCCACCCCGCTTTGCCGTGGTGGGAAAGGTCAGGGTCTCCTCTCCCACTCCAGCAGCCCGGGGGGGGACCCCATTACACACGGGGGAGCAGTCCGGTCTCGTCCGGCCTCAGAGCAGAGGCCCCGGAGAGGTGCTGGGAAAAGCCTTTTCCCCAGCTGCACCCGCATTCCTGGTGCCCAGCACCGGCGGCTGAGCCTGCAGAGACAGAAATAGCCGAGGGAAAAGCTGCCCACGGGGAAATGGGAGCAGGCAGGGGAGGCGGCACCGCCCCGGGAGCTGCAGGCGTGTGGGGGGAAGGCGGCTGCAGGGAAGCGGGGAGCTCCTAACCCTGCACGCAGAGCCACGGCTCCCAGGGGCACAAGGGCAGCCAAGCCTCCTGCTTCCCTCCACCCGTGAGATCCTGCCAAGAGCGACACGGGGACCCACCACCTCCTTCCCCGTCTCTCCCCGCTGGCTGGCATTTGTTGCAGAGGCATCCATGTCCCCAAGCACGAAGGAGCCCTGGGCCAGCCCCCCGAGCCTCGTCCCACAGGGCCGGGCTTCAGCTCTTGCCCTTAATCCCTCTAACTGCCCCCAAACGGGGTGGGCAGCCCAGGTCCTTGGGCTCTCCTCACTCACACCGCAGCCAAGGGAGGCCCCGGGCTTCGCGCAGCCCCGGCGGGGGCGAGGGGTCCTGCTCCCCAGGAGACGCAGGACACCGTGTGCAAGCGGAAGGTGTGTAAAAATTTATTTTCGTGTAGAGGACAAACCTCCTAAAACGGTATGGCTTTGCCAGACCTGGACCGGTGCCGGGAGCAGGGTCAGACCACCAGACACAGGCAGAGCCACGCACGGTGGGCTCGGGCACGGAGAGAGGATAAGGAAACACCAGGGATGCGGCCCTGGCAGTGCCACGAACCACGGGCCAGCAGAGAACGTGATGGCAGCAGGTGCCCGGCTGGCAGAGCGGCTCTGGCACAGGCAGGGACCCCCTGCTGGGCCAACGCTGGGGACCAGGCACCGGCAGGACGGGGGCACCACCCCGGGACTGCCCCCATAAGAGATGCTGGCTGCCGCCCAGTGATTCTCAACCCCCTCACCGGCTCCAGGCCACGATAAAAAGTTTAAATAGACAAAACATACAGAAAAGCGGCTCCAGCTGTACCTCGGTGTTGCCCCACCAGCTGCCTGCAAATAAGCCTAACCCTGAGTGTGCTCGAAAAGCCTAAGAGCTAGTGTCACCGAGCCAGGAGCTGACCCGGGCTCCCCCACCCCGGCAGGATGGGAGCCCAGGGACGGGTGCGAGCTGAACGTGGAGGCCAGCGCAGGCTGGCCTCGCTCTTTGGGACTCGGAGACAGGGACGCTGTGGGACTCTGGCCCTGAATTTGCGCTGGACTGAAGTCACGGCAGCTGGCCGGCAGCTAAGGCCGGCTCGGGTGCGGGCAGGGGACGGGGGAGGAAAGAGCTTCCAGTCGTACCAGGAGATGCAACGCCCAGAGCCTCGCACTCTGGGACAGCCTCAGTGCAGCCAGAGCCCCGCAGAGGGGACAGCAGGACAAGAGCCGTATGGCACGGCGTGGCACCAGCTCAGCGATGGCACTGCCAGGAAAGGACTGCAGCCTGCCCTCGGGAGCGCAGCGGGCACCCTACGCCCCCGCAGCCCTCCCCAGCTTACCAGGGCTCCTGGGGCCCTGCCAATACTGGTGGCCATGAATACTGGTGGCCAGGGCAGGGGTGGGGAGGGGACAGGCCACGCAGCCAGGCAGGGGAGGAGGGCGGATGGGCCGAAAGCCTGGCACGCTGCAGGACTCGAGTATTTTTGCGCAGAAACAAGGGAGAGAAGGGGCCTGGGACAGGTCCTGGGTATCGCTCCCTCCCCTTGAAGCCTGGGGGGCTAGGGGCTGCAGGCACAGCATCCCAGCAAGGACCAGGAGTGACCCCAAAACACAGGGGCTTGGGGGGGTGTAAGCGCCTGGCCCTCCAGGGCTGCCTTTCCCAGCGCTGGCAGAGGGAAGCAGGGACTGGGGATGGAGGTGTGCCCCGGGGGGCCGAAGCCATGAGCACATTCGACAGCTCTGCTACTGCTGGAGGCCCCAGGGGCTCCGGGAGTGTTGCCCCCCAGAACTGAGGGCACCAGCACAGCCCTCTGGGGAAGGGATGTGCCTGGTCCAACAGATACCGAAACACTCATGTTTGAGCTTAAAAACAAACGTTAAAAAAAACTTAACAGAATAAAAGATGGGGGTGATCCTCCAGCTGCCGGTGAGGCAGAGCCCCCAGGCAGAGCTCCCCGGCCCCTGCTGCCACGGCTGGCGAGGAGGCGGCAGAGGCCGGTAGGGTTAGGCTGGCTGGTGCCGGAGAATCTATCCTGCTGGTGCTGGCAAGTCCGGTTTCACTGGTCCTGCAATCCAGGCTGGGGGGAAAGGAGGATTTCCCACCAGGGACCAGCTCGAGGCAGGGCCGCTCACCGGGGCGTCGTTTGGGAGGGGGAGGCTGGTGTCACGGGGAGGACGGGGTAGAGAGCGACTCTCATTTGTTCTTGGCTAGCACACGGTACAGCGTGAACCCTACCAGAGCAGTCACCGTGGCCCCCAGAGCCACCCGGAGCCAGAAGGACGCGGCTCCCAGCTCCACGGCGTTCAAGTGGCTGCAAGGAAAGAGAGAAGAGGCCAGTGAGCGAGATGCACAGGGACGGCTGTACGAACACCCAAGCTCCCTGGCAGCCCGGAGTGCTTCCCCCCCAAAGCAGGGAAGTTGGGGTGTCCCTGGGGGGATGGACGGTAACCGTGGTGCAGCTCCGGGCTGGGGGATACAGCCCAGCTGAAGGCAGAGAGCAGCGAGAGGCTCCCTGGCCCCGTGAGCCAGAGCACCCGCCGCCCGGCATCGTCATCAAGCCAAACGATGGCTCCCCACCCCGCTGGTGGGACGGATGGGGCTTTACGCTCCCGTGGTCTGGAAACAGCACGCCAACACCTAAATAATTAGTACAGCAAGGAGGTACGTATCTTCCTTTCTAGGTCAAGCTGCTTTTACAACTCCAAGTGCGCAGAGACCCAGAAGTGGATGCAGGCGGAGACGCTGGCACAGCCGGTGACACTGACCTAAGGGCAGCGAGGGAAGGGACCCAGCCCTGCCCGAGCGTACGCATTCTCTTCCTAAACACGTGCTGTCCTGCATCAACGTGCTCCTCTCCGAGGAGGAAAGACATATCCATTATTCATTCTCCACTAAATCAGGGGAGAGCAGCCAATC